CAAATCATGATTTAGGCTAATATATTTGACAGTTTGTTCAAAATTATAAACATCCAGCAAATCATGATTTAGGCTAATATATTTGACAGTTTGTTCAAAATTATAAACATCTAGCAAATCATGATTTAGGCTAATATATTTGACCGTTTGTTCAAAATTATAAACATCTAGTGAATCAGGATTTAGGCTGATACTCTCATCCTCACACGGCTAGATAAATTCCATCACACCACCTTGTGGTTGATGCTTTCACTTTCATGTGCACTATTGTTGAAAACCCCTTAGAAACAACCACAGTCTTTGAAACATCTGACAATTCCTAAGTTCTATTTTATGGTGGTGTAATTTTATATTCAACATGCTGAAATACCCGTAAACTGTCAGGGAATATTTAAACTTAATTAAAATAACAAAAGTTTAACAGCAATCATATATTTTAAAAAAATAACTTGAAAATAAACTTTATCTGAAAATTTTAAAATTATAACAAAGCTTCTTCATAAACAACATTTGTGGTTTGCTTTCCATTTACAGCAAATAAAGATTTTGAGGTGATCTCACCCTTGAACACCCTACATCTCACTGACCATGATAATAGCATGGTTGTTTGAGAAACAATCCAGCAACTTTCATACTCTGACCTTGAATCTATTTAGAATATTCAACATTGTCTAAAGCATCAAGATTGTTTGAGATTGACTCAATAGGCTAGGAGTGATTAACCAACAGACTTTACAAAATAGAAATAGGGTTATGTTCAATATTGACCCCCCTCAGGACATTCCCCATAGTTCATAGTGTTTACATATATATTTTGTTTGAGATTTGCCCAATAGGCTTGGAGGAGTTAGGGTGCAAACAAACACACATTTTGTCTTCATATATATATATATGTATATATATACATACATACATTAAACAATTTTATTGTTCCAACAGCTTTTATTTACATTTTCTTTATAACGCTAGTGAAGTATATTTACGATCAAAATCCTTCAATGAAAACATTAAACAATATCTGATATAAAGAAACAGAATTCCAATACGAAAAGAAAAACGTACTAGTATAACAAATAACCTGATGCAAAGACAAAATATGAGTTCCTGTTGTTTTAGAACTGAACTTTGTACTTAGATTAATAAGCACATGGTATGGCATAAGTAATACAATGACACTGGTTGTTCAAGATGTAATACTAGTTTGAATTATATGTACTTCTTCAGTGGGAAATCAAAAAGTGGTTTTGGTTTTCTGACAGAATTTTTTTTCTGAAACTCCAGTCTAGTATCACTTTTTCTAACAGTTTTTAATATTTTAGATTATTAAACGTCACAGAATAAAATGCAGGTTTAAAAATGTAAACAGTCATTCATGAAAAAATACTAATATCAATGTGGGCCTATGCAAGAATACACACACACACAATGAAAGGATTACTTAAAAATAACTTATGACACCTATCATTAATATACAATAAAAGAGCCATCCATGTATTTGCATACTTATTTTCAGTCTCAACATCTATAGTAACACTTCCACAAAAGAAACTAAATAGTATTTCTTTTATTTCAAAAAATAACACTGTAATATCAAGGATTGAAAACTAAGCAAAGTATGTTAACTTTTTTCATTCCACACATTACTGACTTTGTCACAAGCTCCTTGGAAGCCACCTTAGGATATATCTTGACTACATGTACTATTTACTGTCACTGGGAAAAACCTACTACCACATTCAATCAAATCTGGTTGGTTAGGACTATATTAGGGAAAAAAATGCAATATACAAATGTTTGGTAAAAATTTGAATTTAAGGATCAAAGAAACACAAAAAACATCATATACAAGATTTCATGCAATATTTGTAAGACTAATGTTTACGGAACATTTCACATCAGCCAATAAAGTCCATATTCAGGACTTCAAATACTCTTCACGTCAACCTTTTTCAACAAGGTTATTTAAAACTAACAGTTTAGCCATGAAATACCCCTTCTCACCTAGTCTCAGTGATATTTTTAAAGAGCAATTTCAAATTTAAACCTTTTTTTATATATATTCATCAGCCATCCAAAACTATGATATTGATAAAAACACTTTGTAGTTGTGGAAATATATACCAGAAGGAACACAAAGATATTTCATACATCAGAAAAAAATACTGAGATTACATGTGAGTAAGAAATGCAGCCATTAAAACATATGGCTAGATTGAAATACTAACCTAAAAGTAACTTTAGAAGAAATAAAATATCAGCCTATATTAGAGACTGAGGAGCTGAAGTAACCCTCTTAATTTCTACAGGGCAAGAAACAAATAAAGACATGCTGATAAGACATTAACAAATGAATTTTACATAAGAAAAAAAGAGCCCTCTTTCTCACCCCCTGAAACATGCAAATTAAGACACAGGTAGTTTAAGCAAACCTGACAAAGACACATTTGATTTAAAATATTATCCAATTATACAGAAATTACAAACACAAATCTAACAAGAAATGGGTTTCTACTTTTCATACAGGCCTCTCAAGTGCCAAAAAAAAAACCATTTCATATTATCTTTCGTTAAAAAATTACCATATTTACCTTAAAATAATACGTACATTTTTCCTCTAAACACCTCCCCAAAAATTGACTATGCATTATATTTGCACACATTTAATTTTGTTAGGTATTTTAGTAAAAGCTACTACCCAAAATGTCATTATTTACTGAAATTAGCTTATTTTCTTCAATGTTGTGACAACAATGAAAGATATAACTATGATTAGCAAGTTTGAATGAAATTTATCCTTTAACAATATGTACTCGACAATGAACAAATTTTCTATCTGCATGTTAGCCAAGAGCAACAATAATGCATCAACATTCAAAATTAATACCAGTAAATTGCTGTTTCAATCAATGTTGTATAATAGTGTCAGTTGTTGTAGAAATCTTGTGTGTTTAACATCCTTGTGAAGATGTCAAATCATGGAACAGATTGTGTAGAAGAAAATAAACCTCCTATTCTCAATCAAGTAATGGGATAAGGCAAAGCTACGACTCCAACTTTAAAGTTTTAGTATTAAGTGTAGCTGAAAAAAATTGATGACTGCGCTGCAGAAAAAACATATGATGTTGCTGAGTCTAACAATCAATTGTGGAGAAAGCAGAAAGATGAGCTAGGAAAGTCACACTACATTAGTAAGGCATTTTGTGGACCAAAAACGAAGTAGGTTTCTAAGAAACTGATCAACAAGTTACAGCATTTGTTGTGGAAAAATGTGGGGAGGATTCCCAATCACCATAGAGTTGTTTCTTCTGAAAGCCACAGAGATTCAGAATGAGCTGAATATCTCAGAAACTATTTTTAAAACTAGTTTAGGCTGAGCTAGAATAATTATGCATCTCAATGACTTGGTCTTAAGAAGACTTACTACTATGTCATATCATCTTCCCAAAGAATTCGAACAGTTATTAGCTGTTATTACTGCAAAAAGAAGAGGATGAAGAAAGTCCAATGAATATGATGGTGACGACAATTCTAGCAATGATGAATATTTATGTGAAGATGAATGATTAGCTTAGTGTATTACCACGTATAAACTTTTCAATAAATTTTGTAAAATTGAAACACAAAAACAATTTGAATGAAAGATTTCCAAAAACGTTTAATACATCGATAATTGTTTATGGCATTTAGAAATTATTCAATATATTTTGTACAACTGATGTATATAAAAAACATTTCTTCAATTTAACCTTTCAAAAATGTGTTCACATTATAATCGGGCAAATATGGTATGATGGATGTTCAGTACATTAATGATGACCCTTTAATTAATGGTAATGGTATGGCTCTATGGAAAGTCACTCTCGTAAAGTAAACAAAACACACAGCAATTCACATTATTTTTTGTATGAAATTTGAATGGATGGTGAATAAACATCTGATATGGTGTGACTACACAAACAATTGCTACTAAATTAAATTTACAAAAAGAACAATATCTTACTAGCTACACCAGTTTAAAAATACAAAACATGTGTAAAAAACTTTAACTTTGGAGTATTTTATGTAGATTTGTGCACAAATATTATCTGCTTATAGCCACCGTTAACACTGTAGTGATACATTCTACAGCTCTAAAGTTACTGAATAAACTGTCTGTTATAAGACTAGAGTTTCTCATCAAATATACATCCTTTTTAGATTACTTCAAATCCGACTAAATCTGGTACTTTTCTCAGATTTGACCAAAACTAGTACTTTCCTAGACTTATGCAGATTAATCATTTTTAGGTCTGTTCAATTCTTAGCCTAATTCCAGATCTGGGTTTTTGTAAAAGAAAGCTTTAAATCTGTATATTAATGAAATGAATGAGGTAAAAACAACTACCTTTCAATTGGAAAAAACAGAGCAGTTGCATGTAAACTCTTTAAAATGTTAAAGAAACTGTGTTAAAATACAGAAAACCAATACAGTAAACATTACAATTACAATTATCATTACTAATAGAACATTTTCCAACAAAATCATTAAAAAAATCACTAATTTTTAATCTTTAATCTATTATAAAGTATTACTCACTTGCATAATATATGGTAGTCAATAAATTCACTACGGATCAAGAAAATAAATTATAAACATAATAAATGGAAGTCAATAAATTCACTATGAATCAAGATAATAAATTATAACCATAATAAATGGAAGTCAATAAATTCACTACGGATCAAGATAATAAATTATAACCATAATAAATGGAAGTCAATAAATTCACTACGAATCAAGATAATAAATTATAATCATAATAAATGGAAGTCAATAAATTCAATACGAATCAAGATAATAAATTATAACCATAATAAATGGAAGTCAATAAATTCACTACAGATCAAGATAACAAATTATAACCATAATAAATGGTAGTCAATAAATTCACTATGGATCAAGATAGAAAGACAGACTACCTCACTAACAGTTTCATGTTCTCCCATGTTCGAAACATAACTCTACACATGCATCAACCACGATAGAATACACAAATACTCTTCAAAGTTTTGTAATCAAGTGGTCATACTGCATGCCACTCCTTCCCAGATGCAATATTTATTTCACGGTGTCAATACATTTATGTTTTCAATATATATTTACTGTAAATATGTTTAAGTCGTAAAAAAAAATTATGTATTAGCAAGGAAATTATTTATGTAACAGAGAAACAAAACACTTGGCATGTAGTGTGATTCACACATGTAACACATTCCCAAATTTTACTGGCTTGGTATTCTTATTTTTAATAATTAATCAATCAATCAATCATTCACAATATTTTCAAGAACACACAATATTAGCTAGTACTTCTTACTTGCTCTTGGTGTTGGCTATCCAGCTCCAATCAAGTGATCCTTATGAGTGTCCAGAAAGGTAAGTGACTGTCTTCCTCAATCATTCAGCATACTTTCAAGCCCATCTCTTCCTCATCTCTTCCATCTCCATTCCAGTGTATCTACAGTGTTCACAAATGTGACTTCTTTCTCTCTTTCTTGCCCCATGCTGTGGTTTCCAGGGCACAAGAATTCTGACCTCATCATCATCTCTTCTTACAGAACAGTCAGTAATTCTAAGTTGTTGTTGTTTTCCCATCAGCCTAGTTGAAAACCTTGCCATGTCTTTGTACACTTCTTCATTTTTTATCTTTTCAACTGATGTCTTAAATTTCTGTTATGTATCTGACCTAGTTTGCGTGATGATTAATGTCCATGTTTTTGATCTGTACAAGAGAAAATCAGACTTTTGCTGTGGCAACAGTGAAGAGTGTAAGTTGTATTTCCAAATTCAGTTCATCTGTTACAGGTTCCATGCCTGTTTCTGTCCTATTATTTTTTGTATCTGCTATTAATACTCCAGTATATTTAAAATATTCACTCTTTCAAGGGTCTTTCCTTCTACCTGTAACATCTGGAAGTATGTGTGTCACCATCACAGTTGTATGCTAAATAACAGATCTTCTTGACATTCTTGCATAACCCAACTTTCTTACAAGTTGCTTCAACATAATTTAGAGTTCAATGGTGTATTCTACAGTATTGGAGATCAGAACAAAATTAAGACCTACATTTTATTTGTAATAAAGCTTTTCTATAAATTATCCTATGTTACTTTACCTGTTCCAGTAACAACTAGAAGTTCCTTTTCAACAATAGCCACAGCTGTTATACCATTATAGGTATAAACTGATTTCAGCAAATGTCCTAAACAGGAAACAAAAAAAATACAATTACAAGTCTTCATAATTTCAAATTTTACCTACAATGCCCACTTTGAAGTTTAGCTGTTCTTAAACATTTCAAAAAGATAAAAGTTAAAGCCTCAACTAACAGACAAGTGATATTTGAAAATACAAGTTATTATCTAAAAGTAAAAAATCAAGTCTTTTACAAGAAAGGTTACGAGTTTTTATTATTATTTCTAAATAACAAAAAAGTAAAATAATGATGACAGTATTTATTGAAAATTTTAAGGCTTACAAAAATGGTGTTACATTTTATATACTATAATATAAACCTTGCTTTTATATCTTTTTCTTTTTTACCTTGGACAAAAATTATAACATAGAAACAAAATGTAAGATAACTGTAAAAAAAAAGGCTTCTAATGAACTGCAACAAAATATTTCATAAATAATAAAGTACTGCTGCAGTAAACAGTAAAAACATTAATACAGCAATGAGTATAAAACTATATATATATACCATTAGGAATAGACCAGACAATTAAAGAGCAGTCTAGAGCACCACTGATAGCCAGTCGTTGAGAGCTTGGACAGTCCAATCTCACAGCCAAGGCTGCACTTGCCTCTTGAGATGGAAAAACAACTCCGCTCACTGAATTTGTATGACCTCTGAGATTACAGACTTCTTCCCCCTTGATGGCATCCCATACTTTCACAGTTGTGTCTCGACTACAAAAACAAATTCCATACAATACTTACGTTTGGAAAGTAGTACATGATGGTTACTCAAATGTATAATGATACAAGGATAATATCGTAAGTAGAGCATGCACCAACAGTGCAGAGAAAAATTAAGGCTAACAATAATGTTATTTAACATATACTACAACAGCTGGGAATTACTAAAACAAACAATAAAACAACAGGTTATGAATTTCTAAATAAACTAATCCTTTCTCTCTATATACTACAACAGCTGGGAATTACTAAAACAAACAATAAAACAACAGGTTATGATTTTCTAAATAAACTAATCCTTTCTCTCTATATACTACAACAGCTGGGAATTACTAAAACAAACAATAAAACAACAGGTTATGAATTTCTAAATAAACTAATCCTTTCTCTCTATATACTACAACAGCTGGGAATTACTAAAACAAAAATAAAATAACATATTATGAAATTCTAAATAAACTAATCCTTTCTCTCTATATACTACAACAGCTGGGAATTACTAAAACAAAAATAAAATAACATATTATGAAATTC